AAAAGAGGAAAAAACATGGCCTTATCTGTTGACACCAATATTTCTTGTTGACAGTGTTTACAACATTACGTTTTTCTCTGCTATAGGCCTACCTCATTTCACCTCATGTTACTTCTTTCCTGTCTCCACCTCCTGATCTCCTTTCTCCATCTGTCTTCCCCCAGACGACCATGAAGGCCTCTCTGATTTCCACCTGACAAATTGTCTTATCGGTCAGCGAGCCGGTTGGGGCGAATGAAAACATGACCTTCTCAGACGGGGTCCATAACAGAGAACTCTGGGTGCACTGATCAGGAGTGATAAAAGCTCAAGGAAGAGGATACGGCTCTCTCACACAGAGACTTATCTCCAGGTACACTGATGAGCAATGATAAAGCCATGGGAGGATAAGGGAGAGCAGTGGAGTGGCAAACAAGCACCATTAGGGTTATTCTATTCATACCTATGCAGTTAAGTGGCTAACTAGACCCATTAGTACTACTCAGACTTTTAGAGTGATGGTTGGCAGACTGACTGACTGACTAACTTACTGATTGACAGGAGCGGACCAGGGCTGAAAGGAAAGGTCGGGGGATAAAACAAGGAAAGGCTTGTAGTCGAGCAAGATAAGGAACATTTACAGATGTACACAAATAACTAGGTTACAACTGGTTTCGTATTATTAGGAATAATACAATAGGAACAATTATGCTATTAGAATTTAGAATTTAGGATTTAGGTGTTGGATAGAAAAGGGAGGCAGGTGTAGGTTGCAGTGGGACGAAAGCTAAGGAGAGGGAGAGGAGTTCATGCGGATACAGTGCAAAGAGTTGGCTAACCTTTCAGATCTGTCACATTGTGCCATGTTAAAAGCAGCAGCGTCCATTGTGAGAGCACGGGGGCAAAGTTTCCCTGCAAGCGGAGGAATATTGGACGGTAGAAACAGGAGAGAGAACAGGAAAAGCAAACGACAGAAAGTTTTAAAAAGTATCAATCGAGTGGAAACAAAAAGAATGATGGAGAGAAAGTGAGGGGGGTAAAAGTAAAACAAGTTGGGGTGTGTGCACAAGATAAACGGCCCCTCCTTTTTTCCTCATGCTTGGCTGCTCCAGGACGGAGGGCGAAGTAGAGAGATATAAAGAGAGAGAGAGA